CCAGGCTTTGTTACATTCTAAATCAGGCAAGGTGACTCTAATTGGTGAGGGCCTGGCCCTGAGAAATGAATGAGCAAATGGCTGTTACCCATTTTATTGAGTTGAAGCAGGTGTACTGCTTGTACAGTTCTGATGAACAGTCCCAACCAGAATCGTCAACTTTCCTGCTCCTCTGAAGATGCCTGACCTGCTGTGTTCATCCAGCTCCACACTGTGTTGACTCTGACTTCAGCATCTGCAGTTCTTGCTATCTCTGTACTGCTTGTACCTATTCTTTCTATGCCACAAACAGGGCCTTTGTACTAATGTATGCAGCTTCCAGAACAAACAAGTGCATCACATTGACAATCCTAAATTGGTTGTCACTGTAATTCCTTGCACATTCAGCATTATCCAACAAATATTGTACAATTGCAGAATTACATTAAATGATAAACATTGTGTTGAAGGTTTTGCATATGCTGGCTACTGGGGTACAGTCTTTTCTACGTTCATTCATGGGATGAGGTCACTGCTGGCTAGGCTAGCATTTATTGCCTATCCCTAAAGTCAACCACATTGCTGTGGATCTGGAATCACATGTACTCCAGACAAGTTAAGGATGGCAGTTTCCTTTCCTAAAGAACATTAGTGAGATACATATCTTTATCCCTAACAATCAATTTATAGTCATCTTTAGACACTTAATACCAGACTTTTTAAATTTATTGAATTCAAATTCCACCATCTGCCATGGTGGGATTCAAATCTAGTTCCCTAGAACATTACTCTGGATTAACAGTCCAGTGAGAATACCACCAGGCCATTGCCTCCCCTGTACCTTTTGATTGTGAATAACCAAAAGGATATTTTTTTGTTTACAGTTCACTGGTCTTTGGTGTATACATTCTACATTACACTGGCATTGAAATTCATATACAGTATTTCTTAATTTATGGGTTAGGCAGAACATCTTTTTTGATCGAGGGCAACAATCTGGTTGTGGTGAACACCACCCATTTTGCTCCTGCATAGTAATATCGTGAAACAGTTTCACCTATTGCACAAACTTTTGAGTTGCCTTACCCAATTAAACTGAGTTAGATTGAGTATTTTTCAGGACAAAGAATGCAATCCTTAGGACGTTTCCTGAATCTGCATAATATGTAGTGAGAAGTGATCTAATTGGGATAGACATTATCCCACAGGATGGCTTTGATGTGCTCTATTACAGCAGTAAATCCTAATTTACCTACAATCTGTGATTAGGTAATCTGTTTACACTCACTATTCAAATTTATACATGAAGAATAGTTAGTGCTGGTGGAATTACATATTTGTATTAGCCAATGTCTGCAGGATAAGAATACAACAGAAGAGCAGAAGTGGAAAAAAAGCATTTGTTTTTCTCCATTTCTGAAGCCCACTGCAATCAGTAGACTGACTCAACTGAAGCAATGAAATGTTCACCCTGGTTTGACATTTACATATAGTTTTGTTCTATGAATGTGGAATCACGGCATTTTTATGGCTCCTTTATTGCGACTCATTCATGCCTCAGCGATGAGCTACCAGTTAATCCCTGTTATTTTTTTCATGTGGTTTGACAAATTAAGTGCTTTTCAGACCATAAGAGGATTAAAAGCACACAGCCATCAAAAGCACCCAATGTACTGCTACCTTAGTTTAGGTTGCAAAGTGTTGATTATTCAACTTAAAACAAAATGCATGCAAACCCTAGCATGCTATTTAACCTACTGATATAGGATTTGTTAAACTCTATGATGCTGTATTATTCTAATACAATCATGTGTTTAACTTGTATTCAGTGAATGGAACTGTCAAATCCTGTAATGAATGCTTGTATGGATCAGTTCAACTGAATTAAGTAGAAATCGGGCATTTGGGATTGTGGCAAATTACAGTTGGCAGACTAACAATCACAAAATCAACAACAAATTCTGAACAAAATTCCCAATTTCTACTGGTATAGAATTTCAGCATGAAAGGCGTTTGATGTATGTATGTACGATAGTGTTGCGGGGGAGGTGGGGTCTAGCCAAACTGATTGCATTATTTGATATACTGCTGGATTCTAATGGAAGGACTATGCAAATTTAAAGATCGATTGTCGATAAATATATTACAGGCTGCGTGGGTCTTTGTTTAAAATGAGTCATTCTTTTTCACAATAATCTGGGTATTGTTCCTCAACAACATCATTAAATGTTCGAGACTGGTGTTGCAGTACAGCTAAAGCTCTGAGACTGGTAGCTGACATTCTCTGTACAATTGATAGATCAGAATTATATTGCAGAAAGTATTAATGAATCTGGGGCTGGTGCAATAAAAAAAACAGGCTGTTTAAGCTGCTAAATATTAATAGCAAGAATGGAAATAAACACTCCAATCAAGATCGTAAAGTTTCCTGGGGGTTTAGCAGACAGTCTGGGAGATTTTGACATAGTCTTTATACCACTTGGAGTTTTACAGTTAGTATTAACTCAAAGGTTGAAATATTTGGCTTCATAATGCAGCTCCTGAAACTCCAAAATTGTTGATCAAAGTGCTTCCCGCCTGTTCTAGTATAAATGGTGCATTCCAGTCTCAGTGTAAAAGTGCACACATAGACAGACAAAGTGAGCGATTGTGATGCCAAACAATTTCAAACTCTGAATAAAAATTTCAAAAGAACTGCGGATGCTGGAAATCAGAAACAAAAACAAAAGCAGAAATTGCTGGAAAACCCCAGCAAGTCTGCCAGCATCGGTGGACAGAAATCATAGTTAACATTTTGGGTCCAGTAACCCTTCTGAAGAAACATTAAATATGATTTCTCTCCACAGATACTGCTGCATTTTTCCAGCAATTTCTGTTTTTGTTTTAATTTCTAACTCTGGTGTTCTGTGGGATTTACAGGTCTTTTTTTTTAAGGTAACCTAATTTTCTAACCAACCTGTTCGGAGATGTTATTGCTGGAGCAGGTGGGACTTGATCCAGGTTGCTTGGTCCAAGGGTAGGGCCACTATCACTGTGCCACAAGAGGGACTCTCTTACAGTTTTTTTTTAATTCTGTCTATTTTTGTAGTGAACCTGTTCAGAGATATTATTACACACTTCCGGAGCAGGTGGGGCTTGAATCCAGGACTCCCAATCCATGGGTAGGTACATTACCACTGCACTAGAAGAGGGCCCTTCTTACAAGTCATTTTTTTTAATTAACGCATTTTTCTAATGAACTCATTCAGAAATGTTATTACACACCTCTGGAGCAGGTGGGATTTGAACCCAGGTCTCCCAGTTCATGGGTGGGGACAATACTACCACGGAGCCAGAAAAGGGCCCTTGTTTCAGCATTTTAGGTATTTTCTGATCAACTTGCTCAGTGATGCTATTACATGCCTCTGGAGCAAGTTGGACTTGAACCCTAGGCTGGTTCAGAGAGAAGGAAACTACCACTGCAGCACAAGAGCCCCTTTTACAGGTCTTGTTAATAACCATGATAATCACACCCAGTTGAGCGTGGATTCACCTGCACATGGGACTTCCAGGTAGGGTGCTTTTGACATTCTTATGCTGTTGCAGTGTGACTGGAAGTATTGTACTGATTGCTATTGGAGAACTTAAGGAAATTTGTTGAGGAAACCAATGGAGTTGGAAGGCCTGTCAGGGAAAAAACTTCCTTTCAGTGATACAGTTATTCCCTTGGGTTGCAACATGACTTGAAGATGTTTCAGAGGCAGCAGAGAAGGGAAGTTATACAACAAGGAAGGAGAAGGAAGAAAGAGGAAGAGGAGAAATCTGGAACACTTTTGCTCTAGATATGACCTTCATAATTGACCAACCAGACACTGGTTCACTTGAAATCATCTCACAATCACTGCTGTTTCAAATTTTCCACCTTTCTTTTCCTCTGCTGTAGGTTTTCATAATATCCATTGCCAAAACACTGAAATAAAAGATGACACAAAAAGATTGACAACTTTATTATGTGACACTTCCAGTAATGTATACAAAACTGAACTATTCACCTTGCAAATTTCTTGCCTGTCTATCTTGCAGGTGCCATTGCTTACCTTTGTGCTTCTAGATAATGCTACCACAATGGCTACAACATGGCAGGTGGTAGGAAGTTGACATTGCTTGGAGAAAGTGGCATATAGCCTTGCAGCTTGAGAGCTGGCATTGCCGACTGCACTAGGGCTGCACAGGCAGCAGCAGTCATTGTCAGTGAATAGGAACGTAACTTCATGCACCATGACACCATTGACATTCCTCTAGGGCATGCATCAGCTATTTTCATAGTCACTTGGAGGGCAGATTGTTGGGCTTGTCTAAGACTCTACAAGAATCTGCAAGAACTGGTCTCTGTAGCCGCCGTTGGCTGGACAGCTGATTTGTGATGCAGAGTAATGGTTCAGTTTCTGCACCAGTTGAGGTTACTGTGAAGGTTTCTCCTTCTCAAGCTTTCCCTTCGCCTGAAGCATGGTGATCCTCAGATTAAAACACAGGTATTATCTCTCTCTAACGGGAGAGCAGCCCTATGGTTTGGTAGTTCTATGGGAACTTTATCTTTTACCTTACACTTCAATCTGGAAATAAACATATTCCCATGGTTACATAAGAACAATAAGAGCTAGGAGCAGGAGTAGGCCGTCCGGCCCTTCGAGCCTGCTCCGCCATTCAATAAGATCATGGCTGATCTTTTCGTGGACTCAGATCCACTTACCCGCATTTTCACCGTATCCCTTACTTCCTTTATTGTTCAAAAAAATTTCCACCTTATCTTTAAAAACGTTTACTGAAGTAGCGTCAACTACTTCACTACTGGTATATTATTCTCCTACAACACTCTACTTACTCACACAACTCAATATATTTCATTTATTTTAAAACATTGCATTAGACTTAACCTGTATCTTAAAAGATAATTCAGATATTAGCAGATGAACATTTTATTATTTTACTGGCCACTATTACCCAATTCTGGTTAAAAGCTCCACTAAAATAATGGGCAAAACATGCAGATTGGAAAGAATCAGGAGGAAAAGTATGTATGAAAATAAAATCACACTGGTAGATGGTTGCAATACAGCATGAGTAGTGTAGCAAAGAAAAATTATTTTTCTCTCTCTACAGATGCTGCCAGACCTTCCGAATTTCTCCAATACTGTCTGTTTTCAACAAACTAGCAAGGCTATGATTCATCAGGCTGTAGCAAGTTTGCGAATAGCCTGAATGAATAATGGTTCTAGAATTCGTGGGGGTGGTGCATCTAACCACATGATAAAAATAACAGAATAATAATAATAATAATAATTCCCATAACTGAATCGTATTGCGGCATTTACTGCCTCAGTGGTTGTGTAGCCTGGTACAGGAAACTGTGCACTGGTCCTTTTTTAATCAAGCTGTGTTCAGCTTAGTCACAAACCAAAAACTTTCTCACATTCATAAGGAAGTTTCCATATCTTTATGCCAATTGCTTTTCCAGAACTTGCATTATTTTGCCAGCAAAAAAATAAGCTCCTTCCTTTGAAATTCAGTCAAGTAAAAAAGTACTGAAGCTTCTGAAACAGAGTTCTGGACTGTCAATGCACAAGGTCAGACATGATCACAATTTGGATTTCCATTACCCAGAGGAGTTTCCCTGGAATTATGGCCATCCAGAATTCTCCACGTTAACCAAAGGACAAACATTAAGATGGAGTCCTCATGATCATATGCTGCAAAATTCATCCTGTAAGGCTATTGGCGCTGACAACTTGGAAGCCCAAAGCACCTTTGGCATGCCCCATGCTGTATGTCCTGATGGCAAGGGCACTCATGTGGGTGTGCTATGTTTCCACTGGAAGCTTACAGGGTGGGTGGCACATTGTGGTACTAAACAGCTTTTAAGGTTGATTTGAGGAACATTGAGACAGCGGTCCTAATAACACCCATGCATAATCATTCCCTAGCTGGACATACATTCAGCTGAATGTCAGGAACTGTCCTCTTTTGTTTTTCATAGGGATAACCCTGCAACGTTCAGTGAGGTGCTTTCAATTTTCTTTTTCTAATGTACACATACTGCGAGCATTATGTTGAGTGGTGATGGAGGAATTTTGTAAACCTTTAGCAATTCCAAAGAAGTGGTGGTGAATTTTGTTGAGGTCTGTCAGAGAAAGCTTGATTCAGTAATGTGGTATATTTGCACTCTCTATTGAACTTGAAATTGGAGCACAGTTCACAGAACCTGGAAGCAATACTCTGGGAGGAAGTGGAGGCATCTCAGTATAAGGCCCAATCATTAGCAGGGCGAAGCAGGAGGAGCCACCAGTTGGATTTTCCAAAATTCCTAATGCTGTAGGATGACGTCATCTGCATGCTTTTTTGGGCTATCACCATAAACCAGTGACCTGCTGGGTCTAAAGGGATATCCGTGTATATCTGTCTTATGGTACACCTCCTCCACCTAAGCATATAATCCATCCACTAGATATGTTATGGCATGAAGCTACCCTTTGATGATCTAACATAATAGTTTCAATATTTTGACTGCTCAAGTAGACCCCTCCAGTACTTGCTGGAGTTTGTCTCCCAAGTTCTTGATGAATAATGGCTTGTTGTACATTAATTGCTATTTTGAAGATGTAGCCCTTGCCAGCAGAAATCTAGAAGCCTTTGGAAGAAGAGGAAGGATCCCGGTCACTTTTGTTTCTGTCAGGCTGCCTGCAAGTGGATCCTCCCGGCAGAACTTTCGTCTTCAACATACAGTATTAGGAGTCAACAATTTTCCAAATTTCACAAACCTTTCTCTGTAGTGGAAGTGCCTGCCTTCTGTATTTTCATGCTTGGGAGGTGAGTTCATGATGGTGATGAGCCCACACTATTGGAAATGAATGTTGGTGTGAAGGCAAGCAGGTATATAAAGGCTGCCTCAGGAGCTATTGCCAAGAGATGAGATAACAAGGCGTAGAGCTGGATGAACACAGCAGGCCAAGCAGCATCAGAGGAGCAGGAAAGCTGACGTTTCGGGTCTGTTGCCAAGAGATGAGCTTCTCTTTGCTAATAGGATATGGGAATTGCTGGTAACGCCAAATTTATTGTCCATCTCTAATTACCCTCAAAACCAAGTGCCTTCTAAGCCATTTCATAAGGCAGTTCAGAGTCACCCAGATTGCTGTAGGTCTGGAGCCACAAATAAGCCAGACCAGTTCAGGATAGCAGCTATCCTTTCCTAAAGGACATTAATGAAGCAGATGAATTTTATAACATTGGTTATATGGTCATTACTAGAATAGCTTTTAATTGCAGATTTTTATTGAATTCAAATTTCATCATCTGCCATGGTGCGATTCAAACCCGTGTCCCCAGAATATTAGTCTGGGGTTCTGGATTAGTTTGGAGTATTGTTAAAAACCAAAAGAGCTGTGGATGCTGTAAATCAGGAACAAAACAAAGTTGCTGGAAAAGCTCAACCGGTCTGGCAGCATCTGTGAAGGATAAAACAGAGTTAACGTTTCAGATCTTGTGACCCTTCCTCAGAACTGTTGGTGGCTGGGAAAACGTCAGTTTACATGCAAAAAAAAGGGAGCAGGATGGGGTCACCAGTTAGCGAAACATTAACTCTGTTTTTTCCTTCACAGATGCTGCCAGACCTGCTGAGCGTTTCCAGCAACTTTGTTTTTGTTATTGTTGGAATATTGTTAGCAGTTTTGTGCCCCATACCTAAGGAAGGATGTGCTGCAGTGTGTCCAGAGGAGGTCCACAAGAATGATCCTAGGAATAGAGGGCTTGTCATATGAAGACTCTGGGTCTGTACTTGATGGAGTTTAGAAGGATGCAGGGGGAATCTCATTGAAACTTACAGAATATTGAGAGGCCTGGACGTCATGGTTGTGGGGAAAATGTTTCCACTGGTAGGAGAGACTAAGACACGAGGGCACAGCCTCAGAGTGAAGGGATGACCCTTTAGAACTGAGATGAGGAGGAATTTCTTCAGCCAAACAGTGGTGAATCTGTGGAACTCATTGCCCAAGGATGCTGCGGAGGCTAAGTCATTGAGTGTATCTAAGATAGAGGTAGATAGGTTCATGTTTATTAAGGGGAGCAAGGGTTACAAGGAGAAGGCAGGAGAATGGGGGTACAGAAACATATCAGCTATGATCGACTGATGGAGAAGACTTGATGGGCAGAATGGCCTCATTCTGCTCCCATGTCTTATGATCTAATAAAGAATAGCACTTCGTAGCCTTCTGATTGCATGCTACAACTGCACTTATTGTGACTTGTATTAGAACACCTAAATTCCTCTGCACCTCAGATTTCCACAGTTCTTCTCTGTTTATGTAATACCCAGCTTTTTCATTCTTCCTGCCAAACTGAACAATTTTACAGTTTCCTGTGTTATAGTTCAACCACCTGATTTTTGCCCACTGAATCTATTTATATCTTTCTGCAAACTCCAAATGTCTTCTTCAGAATATTCTTTCCTATTTGTCCATTTGTCTTCCACATGTTTAGCTATGATGCCTTTGCTCCCATCATCTGTGTCATTGATGTAAAAGGTTGAGGTCCCAGCACACACCCCATATGACTCCACTCATCATATGCTGCCAATCAAAGACACATTAATGAATACTCTGGTTTCTTGCTAGTCAAACAATCTTCTATCCGTAATACATTATGTCCTAAACCATGAGCTTTAATTTTCTTCAGAACTTCTGTGCACCTTATCAAATACCTTCTGGAAATACAACTACAGTACATTTACTCTCTCGCCTTTATTCACATGGTACTCCTTCAAAGAAGTCTAATAAATTGGCTAAACATGATTTTCCATTCATTCTATGAACAGCTATAACCTTTTTAATGATCAATTCTAACATTTTCCCTGCAACAGACTTTCAAGCTAACTGGCCCATAGTTGCCTGTTTTCTGCCTCTCTACCTTCTTGAATAGAAGTGTTTTAATAGTTATGTGGGGTTCATTAGCCTTATGTCTGCAGGCTGCACGACACAATTCAGTTTGCTGCAATGTCTGCTTTGTAACTTATGTTTTTACTGTTATGAGTAAACTAACTCACCATGTTAATCAATTCCTGATAATTGATTGATCATTAGACTATTATCATTAGCACGACATTGTAAACAACAATGGAACACACTGTGCTGTTGAGGTTTACCAGGCTTGAACAATCAGCAAGCAAATTAATCTACAGATAGAACACATGGTCAACAGTCATAAATTATGCTGAAGTGTGTGAGACAACACTGGGCGCCTTTGTTCGATACAATGAAAGAATTGAAAAACACAACTTACTGGTGAGCAAATGTTGAGAGGTCAGTTTTAGCTCACTTGAGAAAAAGCAAGTGATCTGGTATGTGCCAGATTGATAGCAAGCAAGGGAAGGTCAAAAGCATACTGGAAGAATGGCCACAAAATTCCATTGTTTAATTTGGGAAAAGGCAGATCTCCCAATAGTAAATAAAATGTTTAAACAGCATTCAAAGCTATGGTTTCTAATTTTGAGTTATTTGTTGGTCAGGATCTCTTTTAAGCTTACATAGACCATGTTACATCTGCTATACCAGGATGAATCTGTATCACCAATGACATTGCAGTGGTAGGAATAATAAAACAAGAAAATTACCATAGTCTGTACTTATTGATAGAAGCAGCATGCAATGGTGTTCTAAAGATGGAAATGTCACAGGTCAGCTTATCTAGTTCTGTAAATTCCACTGCAGGTATATGTCCTGATCCAAGTAATTTAAAAGACATCAAAGCCATGCCACCTCCTCAAGAGAAGGACGATCTTCATAGATGTCTAGATCTCTTTAATTTCTTATTGTAATTTATTCACTAATTTGCTTAAAATTCATCATACTGAGGAAATTGTCAAGACTGTACCTTTCCTATGATAAAAGGACCACCAGTGCCTCTTTAAAGCACTGAAATCGTGACTATCTGAAACATCAAACTTGCAATGTTACAACCCTAGGGTGACAATTACCATGGAGATAAATGCCTCACAGAAACTTGTGACAGCATGCATATCA